TCCTCTCACGTGAAGAGATGATGAGTGCGCCCTGCCAAGTGATTGGGTAATGTTTGTATCAAGATTTGATTTGGTATATTGTTTTTTGTTGCTGAAGATTTGATTGGTTGGATATCTTGATATTTGTTGTTCAAGATTTGATTTGAGATCTTTGTAGTTCTTCTCCGGTGTGCGGGCGGCTTTAAGCCGGTCGAATTCTTGAATCTTTTGGAGGCTTGCTTCAGAATTTGCCACGCATTCTTTAGCAACATTTTTCCCGGTATGAAAATCAGATAGGTGAGGGTGTGAGGTTTAGGGTGGTCATGGATTTTCTGTCCTTTCCGCCCATGGCCGTTGTGGCTCATAAGCTGGGCGGGAGGGTGGACGCACCTACTCGCGACTGTTTTGAGTACGGATATATATATATATATATAATATATATATATATATATATATATATTATATATACATATATATACATACGTATATATACATATATATACATACATATATAGATGTTGTCTTGTCTGCTTTGTGCTGCATCAAGTACTTGTGGGAGGGATCTTGTACTTTGTATTTGCACTATGGGGGGTCTTCGGGCGCGGCCATGGCAAGGATAAGTCCGTTCCAGAGCGTCCCAGACCGCTCCCATAGCTTTCTGGAACTCTTTGACAAGGCCGCGGTGCGCGATGCATCTTCCAGAGCTGTCGGGTCTCAGAGTGTCTCGTCTTTTCATTATTTGAATTTGTCCTCGTCCTGGCTTTGTTTTTGTGTCTCGGGGGATTACTAACAACATTTGTAATAGCGTTTGCTTGCCATTTTTTAGGGGCGGCCCCTCGCTGCCTCTCACCTTTTTTTTCTGCTCCTCCATTATTTTATTTCTTGAAGCATAATTAGTTGCGTGAACATAAACTTTCGGATGTTCGAAGCATGCTTTGAGACGGCTGACAACAGCCCCGCCACTTCCAGGAGGAGGGGAGGAGACGACAAGGAGGGATGACGATGATTAGCAGGGGACAGGGGGCGATGTTGAGGAGGATCATCGGTGGTGGTGATCTTGATGCTGATGATGATGATGATGATGATGATGACGATGCTGATGATGATGATGGTCATGATGACGCTGATGATGGTGATGATGATGAGGAGGAGGATGATGAGGAGGAGGAGGAGGAGAACGGATGAGGAAAAGGTGGAGGAGGAGGAGGATGAACACGGGTTATTTGTTTTGGTGATCGCACTTACTGGGGGTATTTATCAGTAAGGTCAGTGCCGGCCTCGTGGACCTGGCGGGCGCCTACTCTGCTTGCTCGTATCATCCACTTCATTGCCTGCTTCATTTTCTGCGGCGCCCGCCAGGTCTTTTTGCGCCGAGCCGTTCACCTGCATGTTTGTATCCTTTTTTCCACACAGTACACAAACGCCACAGCGGTCTCGCCCATGTCGGCCTGACGCAGCAAAAAGGAGGAGGGCGGAGGAGGAGGAGGAGGAGGAGGAGGACAAGGAGGAGGAAGAGGACGAGGAGGAGGACGGGGATGATAAAGAGGGGGAGGCGGAGGAAGAGGGGGAGGAGGAGGAGGAGGAGGAGGAGGAGGAGGAGGAGCAGGAGGAGGAGGAGGAGGAGGGGAAGGAGGAGGAGACGATGATGAGGAGGAAAAGCAGGGGGAGGAGAAGGAGGAGGAGAACGAGGAGGAGGGAGGATGGAGGAGGGAGGAGGGGGAGGAGGAGGAGGAGGAGGAGGAGGATGGGGAGAAGGAGGAAAAGGAGGAGGGGCGCGGATGATGACGATGATGATGACAATGCTGATCACGATCGTGCTCATGATCATGCTGGTGATCATGGCACGGTGATGTTGCTGATGGTGATTGGCACGGTGACGATGGTGCTGTTGCGGTTGATGATGCTGCTGATGTTGATACTGATGATGGTGATGTTGATGCTGATGCTGCTGCTGCTGGTGCTGATGATGGTGATGGTCGTGGTGGTGGTGACGATGACAATGCTGATGCTGATGCTGATAATGGTGGTGCTGCTGATGCGGTTGGTGGTGGTGGCGATACTGATGATGCTGATGTTGTCGATGATGAGGATGAGGGTGCGGATAATGATGGTGATGATGATGACGATGATGCTGATGACGATGCTGCTGATGATGATGGTGCTGATGATGCCGATGGTGATGCTGATGATGATGATCATGGTGATGCTGGTGCTGCTGAGGATGATGCTGATGCTGCTGATGTTGATGCTGATGCTGATGATGGTGCTTATGATGAGGACGATGGTAATGCTGGTTCTGATGCTGATGGCGAATCTGACAATGATGGTCATGCTGATCATGATTATGGTTTTGATGGTGATGTTGAGGATGGTGATGCTAATGCTGATGCTGCTGATGATGATGGTGGTGGTGCTGATGATGGCGATGATGATGATGATGATGATGATGGTGATGCTGATGGCTGCGGTGATGCTAATATCGCAGATAATGATGCTGCTGCTGATGTTGATGCTGCTGATGATGATGGTGTTGATGATGCTGATGAGCATGATGATCATGATGGTGTTGCTGGTGATGATGATAATGAGGATGATGATGGTGACGGGGAAGATGGCGGCGACGATGATGATGCTGGTAATTATGATGCTGGTGGTGGTGGTGTACGTGGTGGTGCTGGTTGTGTTGCTGTTTATGATGATTCTGGATGCCGGGGGGGGGCTGTTGCTGCTGATGGTGATGCTGATGATGATGCTGCTGCTGATGCTGATGATGGTGGTGCTGGTGCTGATGATGGTGGTGGTGATTGTGCTGGTGGCGGTGGTGGTGATGATGGTGGATTGTCGTGATGGTGGTGGACGTGGTGATGGTGGTGATGATGGTGGTAGTGGTGGTGGTGATGACGATGATGCTGGTGATGCTGTTGATGATGGTGGCGATGATGCTGGTGCTCATGCTGATGATGATGCTGATGCTCATGCTGATGACGATGGGGCGGGTGATTGTGAGGTTGATGTTGACGAGGCTGTGGGTGTGGCTGATGATGGTGATGCCGCTGATCATGGTGCTGCTGCTGATGATGCTGGTGCTGCTGATGATGGTGCTGCCGGGGCTGATGCTGCTGCTGCTGCTGGTGGTGATGCTGATGATGCTGCTGCTGCTGATGATGATGATGCTCATTCTGCGGGTGCTGATGATGCTGATGCGGCGGCTGCTGATGCTAGTGCTGATGCGACTGGTTGTCCTGATGGTCTTCCGGTCGGTGGTGATGATGATGTTGCTGATGCTGGTGATGATGATTATGCTGCTGTTGCAGATGATGATGCTGATGATGATGTTGATGACCACAGCTGGTGCCGGTGATGGTGATGGTGTTGATGATGCTAATGCTGATGCTGATGATGCGGATGCTGATGAGGATGACGACCTGGTGGTGGTGGTGATGGTGTAGGTGAGGCTGTTGGTGATGATGGTGATGTTTCTGGTGCTTTTGCAGATGATGGTGATCAGGATGCTGCTGCTGCTGATGATGCAGAGGATGGCGATGGTGGTGGTGGTGGTGATGGTGGTGGTAGTGGCGGCGGCGGCGGTGGCCATGATGATGATGATGATGATGATGATGATGATGATGATGATGATGATGATGATGACGATGACGATGCTGATGATGTTGGTGATGATGATATGATGATGTTGCTGCTGCTGATGATGATCGTGGTAATGATGATGCTGTTGATGGTGATGATGATTGTGCTGCTGCTGATGACGATGATGGTGATGCGGATGATGGTGATGATGTTGCTGACGATGTTGATGTCGATGATGATGCTGCTGGTGGTAATGATGCTGCTGTTAATGCGGCTGCTGATGATGATTCTGATGATGATGATGATGATGATGATGATGATGATGATGATGCTTGTGATGATGATTACGATGATTACGATGATTATGACGGTATGATGATTGTGATGATGGTGCTGCTGATGATTATGGTGATGCTGCTGATGCTGCTGCTGCTGATGATGATGATGATGCTGATGATGGTGATGGTGATGGGTGGTGGTGGTTGTGGTGGCGGTCGATGAGGAGGGGGAGGAGGAGGAGGAGGAGGAGGAGGAGGAGGAGGAGGAGGATATGGAGGAGGAGCAGGAGGAGGCGGAGGAGGAGGAGGAAGAAACATACTCAGAAACATAAGACGAGGAAGGCGAAAACGAAAAGTAATAAGGAGAAGCAACATAATACTCATACTAATAATAATCATGATAATATGAATAATAATGGTAATACGAATAAGAATACTAAGACTAATGGTACTAATAATGCGACTCATGGTACTACTAATCGTAGTAATACTGACACTAATAGCGATAATACTACTAGTAATAATACCAATCATAATACGATTGACATTTAGACTGACAATAATTATAATAACAATCCTAACTACGATTCTAATAGTAGCAATAAGAATACTAAGACTACTACTCAGGAACATGATACTAATAAGAAACTGAATGACAATACGAATTCGTAGCATTATCAATATTAATCATTATAAGAAGAAGAGGAAGAGGAGGAGGAAGAGGAGGAGGAGGAGGAGGAGGAGGAAGGAGGAGGAGGGGAAGGGGGAGGAGGAGGGGGGGGAGGAGGAAGAGGAGGAGGAGGAGGAGGAGGAGGAGGAAGAGGCGGAAAGGAGGAGGAGGAGGAGGAGGAGGAGGAGGAGGAGGAAGAGGATGATGATGAGGGGAAGCCGAGGAGGAGGAGGAGGAGGAGGAGGGAGGAACCGGGGGAGGAGGCGGAGGAGGAGGAGGAGGAGGAGGAGGATGAGGAGGAGCAGGAGGAGGCGGAGGAGGAGGAGGAGGAGGAGGAGGAGGAGGAGGAGAAAAAGGAGGACACGGAACAGGAGGAGGAGGAGGTGGAGGTGGAGGAGGAGGTGGAGGAGGTGTGCGACGATGCCGATGACGCCGCCGAGGGCCGCCGAAGGCCCTGCTGGGTCGCTGTGCGCCCGCCCCCGCGCCAGGCCCCTGTTGCAGCGGGAAGCGGCACGGCGGCGGACAGCGGCTCTCTGCCCGCCAATTGGGAGGCCGTGTTTCCAAGCAAGCCTTGCGGCCCCGAGCCGTCTCGCCATTTTGAGGGGTCTTGGGGGCTCCAGAGGACCGTCTTGGGCGCTCCTGGGTCTCCTCGGCGGCCGTTGTTGGACCATCCTGAGGCCTCCGATTCCCCTCGGAAGCGACGAGGCGAGATGCACATGGCGTGTTTCAGCGAGCCTCGCGGTCCCCAGCCCGGTGCCAAGGAGGTGCGGATCTGAAGCGGACGTCCATGCTCGGCGGGCACCACCCGAGCCTGCTTAAATGCAAGGTGTGCGTCGGCCCCGCGGGAGCGGCGCCCGCGATGCCAGCTATCGTAACGTGTGGGCTCCGTGGCGGGCGCCGTGGGCAACGATGTGCTACCACATGTTCGTACTACATGTTCGGTTCTGACGTGAGCCTCCGTGCAGGGCCCGTAGTGCTCGCATGCCCCTCTGCCTCCCATACACGCGGGTTCGCGTCGTGTCGACGCGGCGGCGACCCCAGCGCTGGCGATCAAGATTGAAGGCCGCTGGTGGCCCTGGATCGGCTGACATCGAACGAGCTGTGCTATCGGGAAGCCGCGATCGCTGAAGGTCGAACGATCCATCCGAACGACCCCGCCGTACGCCGCCATGTGTTGCCAGGGCCATCCTGGGCCCAAGGGTGGTGTCTCAGCTCATAGGATGCGCCAGCCAATCAGTGCTTGCACGTAGGATGCAGAGGCGGCGCGCTGGTGGGCGAGAGCGAAGGATCACGAATGAGGTTCCCTGGGTGTTCTCTTCTTTCTACTCTCTGCTTCATATCCTCTAGTTGCTCCCTACCATCTACTCTCTAATCTCTGCTCTGTCCCTGCCACCTCTGCATCTGATGTCAACCCTCCGCCCTGTACGCTCCACTCTTTACCCTCCATCCTCTGCTCTATTTTCGCCTCTCCAGTCTGTGCTTTCTACTTTATGTTCTCTGCTCTGTGCGTTCTGAACTCTGCACTTTCGCTTTCTTACGTACTCTCTACTCTTATGATATACATATACATACGTATGTACGGATGCATGTATGTATGTATATATATGTATGTATGTATGTATGTATGAATGAATGCATGCATGCATGTATGTGTGTATGCATGCATGCATGTGTGTGTAGGTAAATAGGTAGGTCGGTAGGCTGGTCGGTAGGACGGGCGGACGGTAGGTCGGTAGGTAGGTAGATGTGTAGGCACGCAGGTAGCTCGGTAGTTAGGCAGGTAGGTGTGCATGTCTGCCTGCACGCATGCATGTATGCATGTATGTATGTATGTATGTATGCACATATCTGTTTGTACGTATATATAAATATGAATATGTGGGTGGTTCCCCCCCAGGGACCCCCAAAGCGCTCAGAGCAAGACGCCGCATAATCGGTCGCTTCGCAAAGCTGAGCACTTCGCAACCTTGTTTACGGCGTGGGACAGGCATCTTTCTTCAGGGTATTTTTTTTTCTGTTTTTCTAGGAGGGGCTCCTGAATGAGGCATCCTTACTATGAGCTGTTTACCAGAAGGGGGTCCGTAGGTCCTTATTCAGTATACCCACCCAGAGGGATTTCTACTGAGGGTCCCAGACTACCTGGCGAAGGAGTCTTCACTACAGGAATCCTCGTTCAAGAGATAAAGGAGTATTAAGGGAAGGGCTCCTTACTGAAGGAGCGGTCCCTCGGTGACACCAAGCTTGATTTGGCTGGGGGGCAGCGAAACCAGTTGTTTTTGTTTTGTTTGTCTGATGTTGTTTTTCTGGGTTTCGGAAGCTCCAGTGCTTACAGCGGCCTCCCCCCAGCATTCCCTTCCGAGCTTCAAAAATTCTGGACCCTTCGCGTATCCCCACCAGTCGATGCTTACAAGGTGGATAGTGAGCTCGGGCTCAACGTCAACTGGGCAGCTGTCAGGGAGAAGCACATGAACTCCGTGCGCCACGACGCCCGTGCGCATGCCCAACGCGACTACGGCAGAAACAATAAGCCCGCCCCATGCACAATCGAGGGCAGCGCGCCTGCGCAGGACCGCTGGGCTGGAGCCATCGGTACAGCCACCCCCAGCCAGTGGCAGGGCTGGCAGGAATGGACCGCGTGGGATCGGCATGAAACCCCATGGACGGACTCAGATTGGAAAGGAAAGTGCAAGCGGTACTCCCTTAGGGGGGGCGACCAGTACTCGGACAAACGCGCCCGTTGGTGGGCAAAGAACGACTCCTACACCCAGGGCTGATTGTGCCGGACACTGCCCACCTCACCATCCCTGGTGCTCCTGGCAAACGACACCTGTCCCCCCCCTATCGGCTCTTCTTTGCTCCGAAGGGGCCAGTTTCACCTCGCCGCGCCCGGCTCAGGCCGTAATACCTGGGGGCAACCTCCGCTGGGGCGCAGGTTGCCCCGCATCTCACCCACGGCGCGGCATAGTTAGACAGCCCGCACTGGCCAAGTGGACCTACCCTCCTTTTCGGGCCCGGCGCGGGGGGTCTCCCCCCCCAGTACCCGACATCTCGCCCCCTCTGGCACGACAGGGGGCCTGCCCAACCAGGGCAGACAGGCCCCGGGCTCATTCACTTTGCTGTCCGACGACGACAGCCTACCCACCCGCTGGAGGCGGGGAGGCGGCCACGGGACCCCCCCCCCCCGCGCCGCGGCGGGTCGACTTATCCAGGTCATAGTTTTGGCAAGTGCTGACTCAAGCGGCGATCAGCTGCGACCCTGGAGGACCAACACCCACCATCCCCGCTGAGGCATCGCTCTCCGCAGGGACGGACCAGCACTCAGCGCAGCCCGAGGTCCGCGGAGAGGCTCCCGCCCGGCCCTCGGCGCCATGACCTTCGAAGGGCCCGCCCATCATTTCATTGTCCTGAGCGGCGATCAGCTGCGACCCTGGAGGTACCAACCACTTCCCCTATCCCACGGGTGCGGGGGCCTGACCGAGGAGAGGGGCGGCGTTCCCCCCGCCTCTCTCCTCGGGGGCCAGGCGGGTGTCCCCCGCTCTTGGCCCCGGGGCCCGCCGACGTCCTGGCCGACGTTGGTGGTGTCGCCCCCCTCCCTGGGCCGCCCGCGCCCATCGCTGTGCGTGGACTGTCTTTTCACTCCCAGCGGCGGTCAGCTGCGACCCAGGAGGGCCACGTGGTGTTCGTTGACACTCCAGGGGCCTGGGTGGAAGTGCCAGCGGCGGGCTTGGCCTGACTTTGCGTCCGACGGCCCTCTTGTCTTCCGCTGTGAAGCCCCCCCAGGCGCGCCGCCCTGAGACAACTGCACACCCCGCCCGTGCTGGCGCCGCGTGCCCCATGAGGTACAGCTCAACCTGTTCTCTTGGGGACCCACCCGCTCTGGTCCGGTTCGCCGTCACGGCACCGCCACTTCCAGTGCGCTCCATCTTTCGTTCCTCGCTGGCGATGCTCACCGCGCCAGCGGGTTCCCCCCCGCTCAGTGGCCTTGCCTTGCCGGCACGCGCTGGATGGCTCACAGTCGCCAAGTTACCACCTGGCACTGTGACGTGGTCTGACTGGGGCTGGCCATGGTGCAGAATGGTTCAGCCTTCCGCAGCAGGTGCAGTCTTACAGGCCCGCCTTCAGCCTCCCCAGGTGCGTTGCACCACGGCTCACGACTGCTCAGCCTGTCTGGCTAGCTCAGGTCGTCCGCTCGGAGCCTGGCGCCACATTGGCGATTCACTCCAATGGCCATCACGTCATCACCAAGCACGAGGGACTTGCCCATCGTGGTCCGCGTCCCCTCTGTGCGGGTTGTGCCTTGGCCGCTTGAATTCCGTGACGCTTTGTCCAGTGCGCGTGCCCGAGCTTGCAGAGCGCCGTTCAGTCCAGCTTCGCCCGTCAGCCCGCAGCTGCTGTCTGAGTGGGCCGAACCGGCGGCGTCGGCACTGTAGGTGGCGGCCGGCGCGGCGAAGGTGCTGGGGGCGGCTGGCACGGCGGAGGCGCTGGAGCAGACGCCTTGCTCGTGGTCCCTGGCGCCTCAGCAGGCTGGGGCCGAGCGCCAGTGGCAGCGGTGGCAACCATCGCGAATTCTAGCTTTCCGCTGGCCAGGAGACCACAGCACGGCGGTCCGCCTTGAGCCGCAACAGGTTGCGACAAGTAGCACGAAGCAGCGCTTGTCGGTCTCGCGGCCGAACGCAAGTCGGTCGAACAGGACCTGATCGGATCAAGGATTTTCGATGGATTGCTGTTTGGCTTGGCGAGCGGATCCGCGACCATACTGGCATCAGGCGCCCAAGACAAACCACTAGGAAGAAGTTTGCTGTTTGCTGTTCTCTGCCGGCCTACGCGCGCCTCCCTGATGCGATCAGGGATGGAATCAAATCTTCTTCTGTGATGCGTGGTGTGGTGGAGTGCGTATTCGTGACGAGAGACCGCGAGTCTGTCAGGGGGAGTCCAGCAGGCGGCTCTTCTAGATTCAATGCCTCTTGAATCCTCCTCCGCGTCGCAAGCTGTGCATCGAGGGCGCTTTCGGCAGCAAGGCTTTCAGTGGCCATCGTGGGGCTAATCGACCTCGTTTGCATCTTGGAAGCCCAACGATAAAGCGAAGCACGCACTATGCGACGAGCACCCTGTAGGATGGTTTCTCCGATGAAAGTGGCCATGCCTCGCAGCGGGGGCTTGCCCTTGGGCGAGTCGCCGTAGTTGTGCACGCAGATTTTCGAACGATCCGTCGGCCCAAAATGCAAACCGCGTCTTCCCCCTAAGTCTTCCAGAGTTCTTCTTGGATTCGAGGAGGGTGGGCACTGTTGCAGATTGTATTTTGGACGCGATAGAACTACGAGCGAAGGCGCCGCGAGGGCAGCTGTGATCTGCGCGCCAGATCTGCTCGCCGAGGGCAGCTCGTAGCGCTGCGCGTTCCGGGTCTGTCGCGGGGGCGCCGGGGTGTCGGGGGCGGTGCGGCGGCGCGGGGATCAACGTCAGGGAGCGGCAGCACTCTTTCTGATCTAGGGAGACCCACAGAAGTTTTTATTGAGATGTGCAACCCGCAGAACGTGTAGTCGTCCTTCTGTTGGGTGC